TGAACTTGTACTTCATTCTTTCTCTTTTGATTTTTTTGTTGTGTGTGAAAGTGTATTAGTGAACTATAACCCCACACTTGCTCATGCAAAGGGTTCATTGACCAAAGAAGGACTTATTTTACTTATTTACTTATTTACAATGCATGCAACAATTTTTCCTACTGCAAATGAATGTGAGCCAGAATTGATCATAGTCTGATTCAGCAAAGTAATTTTATATTTCTGTGCACAAATGAGCATGAGTTCATTTTCATCTTGGAATTCTGTTTTGCATGTTTAAGGGGTCGGCACAGAGATAGTTTCCTCATTAGTTTAAATACCTTTTAATTCTAATAGCATTATTTCCTTACTTGAGTCCTTGTAATACAGTATTTCGATCTGTATTTTAACTTCATGTTTAATTGCTTAGCTTCAACTATTTCCGAGAACCCCTATACAGAAAAATTATACTGTTTGGAGTATCTAATTGCACAAGACAGTAGTGATGGATTCTTGAAATCAGGCATTTTCCAGGATTGCATATTCAAGTTTGTAACAGCCTCCAGTAGTTCTATGTCAACCTCGCTTTGACTTACAGCTGAGTTAAATAGCTCCTTGAGTATGTGTCCTTTATCCTCCTGTTCTCATATTTGTAACCCTTTCAATTTCTTAATATCCCCCTTGTTTGACAGTACATTCTAACCTATGACACCAGGAAATCAGTCAATAAACTCCCAGAGCTTTGATCTCCAGGATTATGGGATCTCTCTTCATGCAAAGGGAAACGTCAGCATAAGCAAATAATAAGACTTCAGGAGCAAGAGGTGTTTCGAGACAAAACAGCATCATTCGGAACATGTGCTGTGCTAAAACTGCTGTTCATTTCAGTTTATCCACAAGAGGGGGAATAAAAAGGATATTTAACTTAAAAATGAGTTTCCTGCCATTAACTGATAGTGACATTTAGTTGTCACATACAGCTTCACACACATCCGTCTTTCATTCCTTTAACTTCTCTCTTCTCTTATAGCGTCCTGTATCCCAGTGTTAGGAACAAAGTGCTGTTTGTACCATTGGAAGAAATACGTGCCTAGAATTAGATATAGGACTGAAGCCCAGGGTTGTACTAAAGAATGGGTTTTATATCTATGCAGTGTATTTGGGGCAGTCCACATGATCATACACCTTATACTAGGCAGGCAGGCATAAGTTCAAAGAATTCAAACTCCCTTTGATCCACTAAGGATCGTAATCCCCAATCAATTCCGATACTTTAAAAATGCACATTCATTTGTATTCTTCTCTTCTCAGACCCAACTGATTATCACCAGCATTTGCAATTTAGTATTCTTGAATACTAAGGAAACCATTCAGATCATAAGACAATCCTGGGATATGTGGTTTCACTGACCCAAATCTTCAAAATATGGTAACATTTCGTGCAACCATTTCCTCAGAATGAAACTTCATGAAGAAGGAAGGTGGATTCGAAGAGAACGAGTACCATCTTTTCAAATACTAAATGTTCCTAAACAGAACCAACTCTCTATGTTGCCCTGTGATGCTAAACATAACAGTACAAAATACATATTTGTGTTTAAATATACATTAGCTCCATCCTTTAATGTTGTGGCACCAGTTCGCCCACCCACGACAAGACATTTAACTTTGTTATTGATTGTTTGGCTTTGATGTTCATTTTATATACTGTTTAATGTTGTTTTTATTTCTCTATATTGCTTTTGTTAATATGTATTTTACTGTATGAAGTTTTAACTGTTCTGTTGGGCTTGGCCCTATGTAAGCCATCCTGAGTCCCTCCGGGGAGATTTTTTTTTATTGTGTCAGGAGTTGCTCCTGTTGTGAGAGAATTGGCAAGGACGTTGCCCAGGGGACGCCCGGATAATTTGATGTTTTTATCATCCTTGTGGGAGGCTTCTCTCATGTCCCCGCATGAGGAGCTGGAGCTGATAGAGGGAGTTCATCCGCCTCTACCCAGATTCGAACCTGCGACATGTCGGTCTTCAATCCTGCCGGCACAGGGCTTTAACCCACTGCGCCACCGGGGGCTCCTCTGGGGAGATGGAGGCAGGGTATAAAAATAAAATTGTTGTTATTGTTATTATTATTAAATGTAATTTCTGGTCCTGTTAAAATGCAATCCTATCCTTCTGCGAGACCAATCATATATATATGATTGGTCTCTCAAATAGAAAATGTTCTTATGCATACAGAAAGCCAGTTTGTTTACCATGCTGGATTAGATCAAAGGAGTATCTCATCCAGTATTCTGTTTCCCTCAGTGACCTACGAGCTGCTGAGAGGCCCACAAGCAAAACAACTGAGCAATAAGAAGCCCCCTGTTCAAGTTCTTCAGCATATAGCTTCTATGGCAGCCATTCATTGCCACTGAGGCTAGAGACACTGTGGCCTTCCAGGTGTTTGTGACTCCAACTCCCAGAAGCCTTAGACAGCTTGTCCAATGGTCAGGAATTCTGAGAGCTGAAGTCCAAAACACCTGGAGGGTCATGGATAGTGCATGCCTGCTCCATGGGCTCATCAATACAGGCTTAATAGCCCACATTGACTGTGTAATAACTCCTGGTTTTCTCCATGATGTTCTGTCACTTCTGTTGCTTATTAGTAGAGTTAATCAGGTTACCCCAGTGTAACCTCACATAAAGAATAGTTTGGGAATGCTCTTGAGTTTGGCCAAACTCCAGAACAATCTTGAACCTTTGGCACAGTGTGAACAAAGGACCAGGTCTAATGCAGGCTGGTTCACTTCCCACATGGGCCACCATCACTATCTCTTTTTCTCTGTTTTCATCAGCTTATTCATGTGTGCAGTCCCCCTGTTATCAAGTTTAAGGCCCACAATTGCAAAGAGCTCTCATGGAGTTCTGTGACCATCAGAAACAACTACATGGATAATAAAGTGATGGTCCAGTGAAGCTGAAATGATCATTTGGACACCCTTGATGGAGCTGGGGATGGAGGGTGTGACTCTAGATCACATGTGCCAACCTTGAGGCTAGGGGGCCGAATTCAGCTTTCTATGTAATTTTCTGTGCCCTCCAGAAACTGCACTACATCTCATGTATTCTTCATCATTAGACACGATGACTAGAGCTGATGGGAGTTGCAATACAGTAAAATCTGGAAGGCTGCAGTTCTGTTTAGTCAGGATATTGGGGAATTACTAAAGATACAAGGCTTGGGTTGCAATCCCCATTATGTCCAGTCGATATGGTGGATAATCAAAGTGATGGCAGTTGTCATCCAATAAAATCTGGTGACCCAAATTGGGTAAAAACTAAAGAGCATTGACCACTATGTAAACAAATTATAGTTCACCCTCTAAATACATGGATCCTCTATCCATAGATTCAATGGCCCTTTTAAGGCAACCATAAAGCTGATGTGACCTTCAATGAAAATGAATTGACACCCCTATCCTAGATTAAACAACGTATGTCGAGGAGGTCTAAGGTTACCAATCATTAATAACTTTATCCTCCATGAATTTCTCAAATCCCTCTTTAATGCTGTTTTAGATGCATCACATCTCAAAGAAACAAATTACACAATGTAAGTTTATTACAACCCCATTGGATTTGCAGTGGAAACAGAAAACTGTGGGTAACAGTTTTCACATAGTTTGAAGACTGATTTGGAGTGACTCCACATCAATGCTGCGTGGTGATAATCTTCCATTTGTGACCAGAGAGCTTCAAACCCATTCTACCAGCTACATCTCATAAAGTCCTTTATTTCATCACGTTGTTTGATATATTTTTGATTAACTGCTTTGTGCTCCAGTTCTCTTAGTGATTAGGAAATGGAGAAAACAACTCTCCATTGACTCCCACTGTTTCACATGGTGCTATTTCCACTAACAGCAAGCAGAAATTATATGAAACAAGGATCTTTATTTGAAGCTTAGTTCTTTCTGTACTGATTCATTGACCTTCTGAAAAAGAAAAAAAACTAGAGCAGGGAATGCACTTTTTTAAATAAAGGAACTAATAATTTGCTCACTGCTCTGATTATGATTAATTACTATTACTGCAGATTAGCAAGCTAACTTGCTGGACTAATAATTGCTAACAAGTTACTATTACTATTAGAGTACAGGGAAATTCGAGAAAATGTTCTCTGGTTCCCTGGTGTGGCCACCTCAGATTTTGAATAATCGTACATTTTGGGGAAAAGGTGTAAAATACATTATGAAACAATCCTTTCTTTTTAAATTATGAAGTATCCATCCATGTGACCTTTACTTCCCTACTTCCCACTCTTTAAACTGAGCGCCCTTCCACACAGGCACGAAATACAGTTGGAACTGACAATAATAGTGCTTGTCGTTGCTTTGAAAATGTCTTGAATTCTAGTGAAAGTAAAATATGTTATACTTATTTTGCACAAGTTGCCATTTGAATATAGATCTAGACACGTTTCAATATTTTTGAATGTATATATTCTGATTGTTTGTGTCAAATAAGAAGAAAGTGCAAAAGCTGGGTTGCAGTTAAACATTTTTTTTAAAAAAAAAACCAAGATTATGGCTACCAGACTGATTGATAACTGGCAAATAGAGGGAGAAAACATGGATGCAGTGACAGACTTTGTATTTCTAGGCACAAAGATTATTGCAGATGCAGACTGCAGCCAGGAAATCAGGAGACTCTTACTTCTTGGGAGGAGAGCAATGACCAATCTCAATAAAAGAGTGAAGAGTAGAGACATCACACTGGCAATAAAGATCCACATAATTAAAGCAATGGTATTCCCCGTAGTAACCTATGGATGTGAGAGCTGGACCATAAGGAATGCTGAGCGAAGGAAGATAGACACTTTTGAACTGTGGTGCTGGAGGAAAAATCTGAGAGTGCCTTGGATCGCAAGAAGATCAAACCAGTCCATACTCCAGGAAATAAAGCCTGACTGCTCACTGGAGGGAAGGGTATTAGAAGCAAAGATGAAGTACTTTGGTCACATAATGAGAAGAAAGGTTTTCGGCCTTCGCCTACCTGCCGCCATGGACACGAGTCACGTGCAGCCTATCAAGCTGGCCCGCATCACCAAAGTACTAGGCCGCACCGGGTCCCAAGGCCAATGCACGCAGGTCTGCGTGGAGTTCATGGACAACACCAGCCACTTCATCATCTGCAACATCAAAGGCCCCGTTTGTGAAGGAGACATCCTCAACCTTCTGGGGTCCAAGCAAGAGGCCCAGAGCCTGTGCTGAAAGATGAATTGAGAGGTTCTCCTGCTTCACCAGTCTCTCAAGACCTAATCTGGAGAAAGAAAGATGAAAATAGCCTTGGACTGAAATAAACTTGGGTTTTCCTCCCTTCCATTCTGAAAAAAAATGAGAAGAAAGGAAAGCTTGGAGAAGACAATGGTGCTGGGGAAAATGGAAAGAAAAAGGAAGAGGGACAGACCAAGGGTGAGATGGATGGATGGTTTCCTTGAAGTGACTGGCTTGACTTTGAAGGAACTGGGGGTGGCCATGGCTGAAAGGGAGCTCTGGCACGGGCTGATCGATGAGGTCATGAAGAATCGGAAGCGTCTGAACAAATAAACTCCTGTTTAAGGAGCTCCATTGGCTGCCGTTCATCTTCCGGTCCCAATTCAAGCTGCATGTGCTCACCTACAAAACCCTAAACGGTTTGGGACCCGCCTACCTGCGTGACCGCATCTCCATATAAGAACCCACGCGCTCCCTTCGGTCATCTGGAGAGGCCCTGCTCACGATCCCACCTGCGTCACAAGCGCGTTTGGTGGGGACGAGGGACAGGGCCTTCTCTGTGGTGGCCCCCCGACTCTGGAACTCTCTCCCCAAGGACATCAGACAATCCCCAACGTTGGCAATCTTTAGGAAGAGCCCAAAGACCTGGCTGTTCCCGTGTGGCTTTCCAGATTAGGAAACTCCCTGGCATCATGTCCTTAATGCACTTTGTTAGGGATCAGAATTGTCTGCACATTGCACCTACCTCCAAAAATCACTACATACCTCCGGTCAAGTTCAGCACTTTTAAATTTTTGTCTATTACATTTGGCCAGGCCCTTAGGTTTTTAAATGCATCATGGTGTCATTGTTTTTAGTGTTTTATTGTTTGCTTGATGTTTTATTATTTGCTTATGAGTTTTACTGTTATATTTGTATGTTGTTGTTGTTGGTGGTGGCCTTGGCCTTTGTAAGCCGCATTGAGTCCTTTGGGAGATTTTGCGGGGTATAAATAAAGCTAATAAATAAATAATAAATAAATAAATAAACAAGAACATGTTTTCTATGTTCCCATAGGTGATAATAAGGATGAAAGTGTTATAAGGAGCGCTCCAAACACTACACAGTGTATAATAATTTTCCAAAAGTACAGCCATATTCACAAGATTGTGAGCTATATTTCTCCATCTAAAACTCTTTTTAAACACCATTAATAACATCATCTAGCCTTTGTTTTGCCTTGTGTATGTCTTTGATAAAATACCTAAAATGATCCATCTGACTGTTTGAATGCAGATCTTATAGCACAAAGTAAACATAGATTGAGTCCTATTGCATCGTGTAATTTGTGTACTTCCCATATTCCTCTTCAGTGCTTTTCATGGAAGTCTGTCAAATGACCAAAGCCTGCATTTGAAAAAGCCAGGAGATGGGCATGAGCCTCAAGGAGGGCTGCGTAATCGAGCTGTGTTTTTTTGAAGGTACAAGACATCAATCCCAAATCATTTATATGATGCAAATCAGTTATTGTATTTGTAATGCACATTCTTTTAATTGAATTGCTTTGCTCTCTCTTTGTTGCGCCATGAAGATAAGCTAGTAGAAGGGGGATGCTTCGCTTTGGACCGATTTCTCTAATTGCCAATAAAGCTTGTATGCTCTGAGTTGGCAGACAAAGGAAATGATTGCTTTGCTCATTCTTCACTCTTTCCATTTCTCATAAAAAGCAACAAAAAGACATGTTTTTTCATATTTCATTTACATACCGACAGTTAATAAAACATCCCTTGTCAAAGTTAGAAGACTGATTTTCTCTTCCTTGTTGGCTTCATTTGTAAAGCATGCTTACAGGTAGTAGCTATTTAAAAAAAAACACTGAAATTCATTTTTATTCTCCCCCACTCTTTCTTATTTCTTCCTCACTAGAAAGAAGAAATAAGTAATGAAATAAAATCTAATTTATGGTGTCAGTCTGGGTATTTTACAGGCAAAACATAAGGTAAAGAACTTTTATTGTAATATTTCAGAGAGAAATTCTCACATGCATACTTTAAATGTAACCCATTTAATTTTTTGTGAAGCAGATACTGTTGGTACCCGAAAGCACATTACTATACATTTTTATTAAAACTTACAGTGCAAATACAAATCAAATAAATCTGCTAAAGCTGTTGCGATAAGGACACACTTATCTTTGCATACAGGCACTCTAGATGTAGTAGATCAGCAAAGCGAAATAGATATGCTTGCTCTGATCTTGTAATATGCAACAATCTATCTTTATTTTTATGTGGTTAGTTAATTGGTCCTTTGTGGTTTTGTTTTAAGAATTTGTTCAGCTATCAAATAATTTATTGTTTCTTTTATGGCATGAAACCATTATGATTATTTATTTATTATTTTCTTTTGAGACCTCTGCTGGAAAATCAATATATATTGGTGTATTAAAAGTAAGTATAAATATATTTTATATCTGCCTTTAGTAAATTCATTCCTCCAAAATGTTGCAGGTGTATGAGATGCATTTATGATTTCGTACCATTGTGAAACTTGTATTACCCAGCTTAAATAGGACATATCTTTATACATGCAGGTTCACAGTACCACTCCTGCTAAAATGTTGTGTAAAGAACATTTAACACCGGGATTGTGGCGCAGCTGGCTGAGTGTCAGCTGCATTAAGATCACTCTGACCAAAAGGTCATGAGTTCGAAGCCAGCCCGGGTTGGTGTGGGTTTCCAACCAATTGTGTAGCCTGTTGTTGACCTTTGCAACCCAAAAGACAGTTGCATCAAGTAGGAAAATTAGGTAGCACCTTAAAGTGTGGGGAGGCTAAATTAACTAATTTATGAGGCCATTAAAAAAAGACTCCAGCAAGCACTGCAGCAAAAAGCATGCGGGGAATGCGGAAGTACTTTATCAGTGTCGCAGATGGACGATGAAAGCGACAGCTCCCCTGGTGGCCAGAAAAAGTTAAAGAGCCTCTGTCTATGTCTGTATATCTGGAGCCTACGGTGGCACAGTGGGTTAAAGCACTGAGCTGCTGAGCTTGTTGATCAAAAGGTCACAGGTTCGATTCCGGGGAGCGGCGTGAGCTTCCGCTGTCAGCCCTAGCTTCTGCCAACCTAGCAGTTCGAAAACATGCAAATGTGAGTAGATCAATAGGTACGCTCCGGCGGGAAGGTAACGGCGTCTTCCATTATGGATTTCCTTGTGGGTCCGTATGTGGCTGTGGAGCCCTATTCTTGCTCTGCATCTTCTTCCGCAGTGAGGGCATTGGTTTCCAGGTGGAAGGCGGTCCCGGTTGGGGTTGGCTTGACGCGCTTCCTCCTGGCACGTTTCTCTCTTTCACCCTCCACTCGTGCCTCCTCAAATTCTGCAGCACTGCTGGTCACAGCTGTCCTCCAGCTGGAGCGATCAAGGGCCAGGGCTTCCCAGTTCTCAGTGTCTATGCCAGAGTTTTTAAGGTTGGCTTTGAGCCCATCTTTAAATCTCTTTTCCTGTCCACCAACGTTCCGTTTTCCATTCTTGAGTTCGGAGTAGAGCAACTGCTTTGGGAGATGGTGTTCGGGCATCCGGACAACATGGCCGGTCCAGCGGAATTGATGGCAGAGGACCATCGCTTCAATGCTGTGGTCTTTGCTTCTTCCAGCACACTGACGTTTGTCCGCTTGTCTTCCCAGGAGATTTGCAGGATTTTCCGGAGGCAGCGCTGATGGAAACGTTCCAGGAGCTGCATGTGATGTCTGTAGACAGTCCACGTCTCACAGGCATAGAGCAGGGTTGGGAGGACAATAGCTTTATAAACAAGCACCTTGGTATCCCTACGGATGTCCCGGTCCTCAAACACTCTCTGCTTCATTCTGGAAAATGCTGCACTTGCAGAGCTCAGGCGGTGTTGTATTTCGGCGTCGATGTTGACTTTGGTGGAGAGGTGGCTGCCAAGGTAGCGGAAATGGTCACATTTTCTAATGTGACACCATTAAGCTGTATTACTGGCATTGGAGAGGGATTGGCTGGCGACTGCTGGAACAGCACCTTGGTTTTCTCAATGTTCAGTGACAGGCCGAGCTTCTCATATGCTTCTGCGAAGGTGTTTAGAGTGGCTTGTAGATCTTCTTCTGAATGCGCACAGACGACATTGTCATCAGCATACTGGAGTTCTATAACAGATGTTGTTGTAACCTTGGTTTTGGCTTTCAGTCTGCTGAGGTTGAATAGCTTGCCATCTGTCGATAGATTATTTCCACTCCGGTGGGAAGCTTCCCATCAACAAGGTGAAGTATCATAGCGATGAAGATGGAGAATAGAGTTGGGGCAATAACACATCCCTGTTTGACACCTGATTCCACCTTAAATGGGTCACTTTGGGAGCCACTGCTGTCCAAGACTGTTGCCATCATGTCATCGTGGAGGAGCCGCAGGATGTTCACAAATTTGTTTGGGCACCCGATTTTGTGGAGGATGGTCCAGAGAGCGCTGCGATTCACTGTGTCGAATGCCTTTGCAAGGTCGATGAATGCCATGTACAGAGGTTGGTTTTGTTCTCTGCATTTTTCTTGGAGCTGTCTTGCAGTGAAGATCATGTCCACTGTTCCTCTGGAGGGGCGGAAGCCATTCTGGGATTCTGGGAGGGTGTCTTCTGAGAGGGGCAGAAGGCGGTTTGCAAGGATTCTTGCGAGGATTTTCCCAGCGGAGGTTAGAAGGGAGATACCTCGATAGTTTCCGCAGTCTGTTCTTTCCCCTTTTTTGAAGAGGGTGATGATGGTGGCGTCCTTGAAATCTGCTGGGATTTTCTCAGTCACCCACACTTTTTCTATGAGCTGGTGGAGTTGGTGTGTCAGCTCAGGTCCTCCCTCTTTAAAGATTTCAGCAGGGATCCCATCTGGTCCACTGGCTTTGTTATTCTTCTGTTGGCTGATGGCATTGCTGACTTCTTCCAAACTAGGCAGTGCTGCAAGCTCGTCCCTGGTTTGTTGCTGCGGGATTTGTGAGAGGACCTCTTCGGCCACATTGGA